TGAAGAAGAAGAAGAAGAAGAAGAAGAAGAAGAAGAAGAAGAAGAAGAAGAAGAAGAAGAAGAAGAAGAAGAAGAAGAAGAAGAAGGATCAATGTAATATTCTTGTTCTTCAACTTTTTGTACTCTCATTTCTTTGCTTGCTTGCGTCTATGAATTTAACACTTTCTTCAACACGGGATAGTCCGTGGGTTTTTTTCTTTTTCTTTGTTTGTGGCGCACACAATCGATGACGAATTTACAGCGTCACCAAGGTTTAGATATTGCTATTGTTATAGAATTTGTCTTTTTGTCCTTTAACTGGATTTTCTAAATACATGTACACTTATTATCATTAACCTTTATACTGATTGCTTATACTTATACTGAATTGTGCACGCGGATGATCGTTTTAATTCTGGAGAAAATAAGAAAAATGCGCACATGCGGCGTTATCCCATTTCAAACGTATGATCATGATTTTGTCTATCCTCTTCCAGGTATCGGTAATGCGAAAGGTCACGAGAACCCATTTCTTCTCGCCCTGCAAGTGATCTGGTTACGATGGCACAACAAAGTAGCCGAGGACGTCGCCACGTCAGACTCATCTCTCTCCGACCAGCAGATTTTTGACATCACTCGAAGCAGGGTCATTGCCCACTTCCAGGTACACAAACGGCCGCGCTTGGACACTCTTGTGTCTCTTTTACATTACGGTACTTCTCCATACTTGAAACTAGAAAAAAAAACATCAAAGATGTTTAAAGTTGGCTGTACTCTTGTTCATTTTGAGATCGATTTTTTTCTTCAAAATCCGACCGTCCAATCAATTTAACGTGTCAAATTATAATAGTATGTAGCGTAATCGAAAATTCTACACAAAATCTTTGACGTCTGCTGCAGAAATATGCACGTAGCTCATGACTTTAATTTTGTGGCATTTGATTTGATCCTGTTGAAAATGGGCTCTATTTTCCGAGGTCTTACTTCTGAAATAACCTTTACTTGCAAAGTCTGTAGGGGCGTTAAACTCTTCCCATATCACTATGCGATCTCCATTTTTTATTCAGCTCCCCAGGTCCCTCTGATCAGTCTGTGTTGTACTGTTAGACTTTTCACCGTCTCACGCAGTAGACCTGAGTTCAATTCCCCACGAGACTAGATTTTTATTGAGTTTCTCTGTCTTTCTACTGGGATGTTCTATCCCTCTCAGCCCTAGTAGGTTATGGTAGGCGGGTCCTAGCCCGCCTCCTAAATGATCAAAATTGTGTCGATGGGGGAGTAAACCACCCACATGGTCTGATGGTAAAACTTGCATTCCATCCCCAGAACATTGCGTTGAAAGAGTGGCTGCCTGCTTTTGTATACGCCAAGGATAACAATCAGAGTAATTTCCCTGGGTACCTTGGTAAGTTATTAAAATTTTTGTCGAAATGCATGTAAAAAGAAGCATAAAGATGAAATATCAGAAACTTAGTGTGGGTGGTTGGCGGGTGCTCTGGTGTGGTTTGCTCCTTCTTTCCTATGAAACAACTATCGTCTTTATCTCTTCTCCTTTTTTTATGTTTGTTACTCTCTTGTAACACCTCTAATCTTCGGCACTTATATGACCTTATTGTGTTTCAAGTGCCGTAAAACTCTTACTAAAACAAACAAAGAAACTTAGTACGAGGCAAAAACCGGTGATAAAGAGTCAGACTTAAAGTGAAAGGAAAGAGGGACAATAAAGACGTAAGATTTACCAGAAATGCATTCTCACAGCCAAACTTCTGTTAAATCAACACTATACTGCAAGAGCAAGGACTGGTTCCCCGAGATGTAACAACAGTAGAGGAAATTGAGAACAGGGACGAAGGCAGTAGGCTGGAATAAATGGAAAAGTGTGATCTCTTCAAGAGAAAGCAGATACTGAGACGTTAAAGGAATACCCAGAAAGTTTACATTTGTACTGATCATGACTTGCTAATTCATGGTGTTGCTTCACGTAAACTATTGTGTCCGCCCCTCCACCCCTGAAAAAAGAGAAAAAATAAAATAAATGAATGAATAAATCAAAATAAATTAAGATACAATCGAGAAAACTGACAAACACACACACACACACACACACACACACACACACACACACACACACACACA